CCAACAATGCCCCAGGCATCTCTTTACCCTCTTGATCATCCAGAACTCCTCAGAGATTTGGCAGGAGCAGAGAGGATGCTCAGGAGCAATCTTCTCTAGTGCCATCTTTGCTTTTTCATTCCAGAAGCTAACAAAGCATTCAACTGAACCGCTCTTTTATTGGCAGTCTGTCAACTACCTACCATCACAGTTTCAGTTATTTAAATTAATCCCCACCTCTGGAAATTTTATGTAACTGACACACACACACACACACACACACACACACACCAAGAAAATATAGTGAGCTAATGATGTAGCAAGAGCCTGCAATTCACTGGGTCAGAAATGTGAATATACCCAGCTTGTTGTGCTTCAAGATATGAGGAACCAAATAAAATGTTTGTGATTGAAATGTTCTTGGAATTTAAAATGGGAATATGCATATAGAACTGGTTTACAGGTAATGTGGACATTGGAGAATCCATTTTAACAAGGGATTTTTAATTTAAGAAGTATATTTAAATTATTTCAGTTGCTAAAATAGGTAAGAAGCAAAGAGGTTCTAATCTCTGGCCCTGTCTGCCAAGGTCTGGAGAGCCATCTGTATTCCTCTTTTTGCGCCCTCTCTCTATATTTATTATTATTTATAACCAACAGTTTACATGCATTAAATCAGGGGTACCCAACCCTTGGTCCATGGACTGGCACAAGGCCAAGGCATGCCAGAAACTGGTCCGCGCAAACAAGCAAAGCCCCATTAGCGGGATGCAGGCACTACAAGAAACCAAACCCGCTCCAGTCCGCAGAAAAACCTCTCTCCATGGAACCGGTACCTGGTGCTCAAAAGGTTGGGGACCTCTGCATTAAATGATCATTGGGTCTAGCTGCCTCCCACAGTACTTTCCTTCCCATTTATGCAAAGATACGTCAATTTAGATAAAATTCGTATTAAAAAAAGACAAGTGAACTTTGCCATCTGCACTATTTATATTCAACAGATAAAGTTATTCTCATCATAGAGAGTAACCTATATAGCTGCCTATCATAGTGGTCTTCAGTCTAGATCAGGGGTAGGCAACCTTGGCTCTTTTATGACTCGTGGACTTCAACTCCCAGAATTCCTGAGCCAGCATGTTCAGCTTGGAAACCTCTCCCTTTCCCCTCAGCAGGGCTGGCTCAGGAATTCTGGGAGTTGAAATCCACGAGTCATAAAAGAGCCAAGGTTGCCTACCCCTGATCTAGATGATACTGTTCATCAGCTGTTTTATTGTTTGGGGACCACTACAAAAATGAAGGAAATAGTGGCCGTGCTTTCCCCTCCCTATCTCTCCCTAAAAGAAAACCATTAAAAATTTGTATAGGTGGACAATAAACCCAAATGTTAAATTAAGCATTGATGCAAAAAAAGATTGGAGACCTCCAGCTTCTCATGTAGATGTTAAAGAAAAAAACAGCTGAAACCTACTTGATGGAGCAATTGGAAACAAAAAGAAGTACAAAGGAACACTCCCGCTCTAGTTTAGATTCTCCATTTTTCCACAGCAGAGAATATTCAGGGCAGGTATTAAAATCTAAAGAAAATCCCCAAAGTGTTAAAAACATTGATAAGTTTACAATTACATGAGTTACAAAAATATTTAGCAAAAGAGTTTCCAAGACCCTCCAACAATTGTAAATATACACTGGTGATGAAACGCCTAAATGGTGATAGTATAACTGTGGGGCACCACAACAGTCGTAAAGGGAAGGATTGGTCACGGAGCTGTTTTTTCTACACTAATGTAACTGATGTAACTTTTAATGGTTGCTAAACAAGGCAGTTGGTAAGCAAGCAGTACCTGTACATCACTCAACTCAGAGGGTTCTTGAAGAGGATTATATATGTATCCAAAAGTTCTTCCATACAAACAACACATACGCACAATAGATAACCGAACGTTTTCCTTTCTAAAGGATATTTTCATGGTTGGTAAAATGAAATGTGAGTTTTTGGAGGAGAGACTTACAGGGTTGCTGGGAATATACCAAGTATCAAATATTAACCACTAGATTCTAGCCTTTTGTTTTTCTGTTGGAAAAATGAGTTTTTCTCACAACACAAATGTAAGCTTCATTCGGGACAGAATATTTAATGTAATAGGAAAGAACTATGATCCTAAGGATGATGCCCATTAAGACGAAATAGACAAACAGTCGAACATATCTGAAGGAATCACCAGTTTGATTTTAGCAGCTCATACAAGTGTTTGATTAATAATTTCTAAGCACACTGTATGTGAACTGTTGCATTTCCTCACAGTTTTGAAAAAAATGCTTCAAGTACTGTCCTTAAAATTATTCAGCTGATTAAATAATTCCTTAGAGCAGCCGATTAGTCTAATTTTAGTGGGAATTGAAACATAATCTTATCTAATGTTGTTATCTAATACTGGGATAAATTACACTTAAAATAGAGACACAAAATGGTAGAAATTTAAAATCTATCTCTACGGCACCTGAAAGATTTTGTGACACAATATTCTACAGGCCCCAATGACATTAACCCAATGTTTTTTCTCAGTTTCTCTAGTTTTCAGGCAACTTCAGAAAACAAGGAAAACTGGGCTTAATTTTCCATGCAGTTAGTGATGGCAGAATCCCATTTTAGGAGCATAAATATTAGTTCAAGTCACATAAAGCTGCTTTTACTTCACCTTTAGCATTTTCTAGTGGTGGTGGTATAAAAAAACTGAGCATGATTGAGAAATAACTTTTAAGCATTTTATAAAGGAGAGAAATAAGCAAATATTCCAATAATTGCAACAATACAATTCTAATTTCCTAATATATGTAACAGGAAAATATTGTTAAAATAATGTAGCAAGCCTAAACATTTAAATACTTAACATATCTAAAAATACTTCGCACCATCACTATCAACTATAAGAAACCAATTAAATTCTCAACTGACATATATTCTGATAATAAAGAATATTTAAAGCAAATTAGATGAAACAAAAAAGCTTAATTTCCACTTTTCAATGGAAAAACATTGACCTATTGCAAATGGGATATCCAGTAAATTCTTCTGTTTTGCGTTGATATTATTTGCAATATATTTGTTTACTTGTAAACAAATATTCTATTATAAAATAGAAATAGCTTATGACAAAAATATTTGAGTGCATTCTAGTGGAGATCCTACAGGAATACAACTCTTCTGATTGAAACATAATTAGGAAAAACAAAATGTGCAATTTTAAATCAGTTCCCTAATAATGTATAAAACATCAATATCTCACATTTTGACTGGCAAGACATATTCTTTTGAGAAATTGCAAAGTAGTTATACTATACTGGAGTAGACTGTCAAATGGTAAAATAGGGAACCTTGCTTTTCTATATGAGATGGGGGACTAATAACTGAAAGGCTATGAAAAAAGCCAAACTTCCTTATAATGCCTAATGGGATTCACCCAAAATAAGGAAGAAAATCTCTAAAAATTATTTATTGTTTGTATACTTAAACCGTAACTCTCCCCTTTGTGGAGAACATGCAACGAGTCACATACAAATCTGAAATTAATCAGAACTGAAAAATGCAAAACATCAAGGCGGGATATTAAGCTACTCTCTTTATGAATGCAGGATCATTTATATTAAGGTTTTCATTCTAAACATGACTTAAGTATAGAGCCCAGTTATGAAATTGAAGATTTCTTCTTATTTAACTAGATTATAAATTTACTTGCTTGATGTTAGATCTGACAAGTGCAATTATAGCTTCAAAGTACATGCTTTTAAGGAGGAAAGGAAATGAATCCTTCAATAAATAAATATATAAATTACTTTTGCTTTCAGGCTAGTATATGAATTCTTCAATCTCTCTTTACTATTAAATGAGGGAGAATAAATCAGATGGGGATGACTATAAACAAGGAAGCTAGTAAAATATAATTCATGAGAAAACAGTCGCCTGCCCTACAATTTATGACCATAGATAAAGCTAAAACTGTCATCGGTTAAAGTGAATATTGGCTCCACTTCACTGTATGGGACACCGTCTAGGTATGGATTGGAAGGATGAAAATGTCTGTTTTAGACCTTCTGACAGAAAGGGCTCATCTCATTTTGGTAAGCTTAGCCCAGGAACCTAGAAGAGGAAAATTAGCTTTAAATGGTTCCAAAACATGGATCTTAAATCTTTGTATTTCTATCATTTTTTTAAGAACCGTCCCCAGAAAAAAATGGAATTATTCTGATGCTCAGGAACAGTTTTCATGAATTATATATTAGCATTTGAATTTTGTCAGCAAGGCATTTTAATATTTGAAAGATCCTCTCTTATGAACTGTTGAGATAGTTTTTCAATCTTATTAATTTTCCTGCTTTTTTCTACTAAGACAAAAATAATCTTTAAAAGCTTTAGAAATACAATGAAGAACTTGCCAGTAAATACAATATTCTCATGTATCCATAAAAACCCTCAATATAAGGGTCTAAAATTAAAAAAAAACTAATTTAAATATCTGGCTCTTTATATTTTTAAAAGGAAAAATTACTTGTCTTTCACATTGTTAGATATATTTTTTAGTGGTACAGCACACACACCCACACACACAATAATCTCACATATACATGGACACACACAACATGATCTTTCAATCTCCAAATAGTGTGTTGGCACCGGTATACTTTTCCCCTTGACAGATTTAAAAGTGGCCTACATCCAGAAGTTGATCCATCTGGGACAGAGCAAAGGGTTACCACACACACACAGCATATAGATCTGATTTGGTTTTGCCCATTTGCTGATTCCTTGCCCTCTTGATTTCCTAGGGTCAATCCAAACAAGATTGGATGCACACCTAATTCTTTGCACTAGGGGGCTTCCCCATCCTGCTGCTGTTAGGCTAACAAAGAGTGTGATAGTTTCACATAGGTTCATTTCAACTATGCTATGTGATGCCCTCTCTGATTGGCAAAACCATGGGATGTCAATATTCTTTTTTTTTTCAGGCTGATTAATCTATCTAGTACCCAGAGCTGATTGGAACATCAACCAAAAACTTCTAAATGTTAAAAGGAGAAAAATTCTGACACTTCATATGAAATGGCATCTCAAAAAGCACAACAAAAGCCAGAAATATGGTGGTGTGACTTATAAGAAAGTGCTTCTCAAGAGAAATAAAAGAAAATCCATGGCAAACAGCAACAGCAGTTTCAGGTGCTTTAATTTATGAATCTCTACTTATTTAAGATAGTTTAGAAAGTGTCATTCAGTACCAAAACAAGCACATTTTCCCCCCTCTGTCTCCTTGGAAAAGCCAGTTTATCATCTTTAATTCATGAAAAGCTACCTTAGATACAAGGCAAGGAAACAGATGCCAGAGTGCTGGTATAAGACTGTCAACATGACAGATGCTTTAATTGGCAGGACTTCCTCTTGTTCAGGCTGCTGGCAGAACTTCAATATTACTATCTATTACCCTCCACAAAGTGGACATATCCTTGAAGGTACCGATCACCAAAAATGTGAAGAGTTTGGGCTGACTTACCTTTTGGATGCCATGGATCTGTAAACTCGTATTTCCCCACACCAACAGTCCGTAGCATCTGCACCCCATTTGTGTTGTCCTGATTGCCCGTCGGGTTAGGAGGAAGCTGAGGAGCAGCCTGCCCATTGGTGGCTGGAACACTATTAGGTAGGGCAGCTGAAGGCAAAGCAGGTGGTGGTGGAGGCAGGATAGGACAAGTCATGTGACCATTCCCTACTGCCCCATGGCCTGGGTGAGTCACCTGACCAACCCCAGTCATAGAAGACATAGTAATGGGTTGACTGTTTGTGTACAAAGGCTGGCTTTGCAGATTCACAACCATGTTACTGAGAGGCCGTGAAGGCTGCTGCGGAAGCTGGTAATGAGCTGGCATTAATGGAAGCTGGGGGGTAACATGTGGAGGGAGTGAGGGTGTGACTCCAATGACAGGGGCTTGGACGTTGACTGCTGGGCTGAAGGTCGGTGGCTGATTCATCCCATAAGAATGAGTTATAAGAGTTGGTTGGCTACCTGCTGCAACTGTTGTAACCCATGGAGCTGTACCTGGAAAAAGGAAAGCTAGCAATAAGAACAATTTTTGCAAAAGGTCAAGTCCCCAAAACAACTCCCTCTGCAAATGTGATTCTGTTGAGTCTGTCCCCTCCTCCCTTATAACGAGAGGGATGGATTGACATCAGTCCAAAATGGTAAGTGCAAAGCAGTAAATGCTGTAATATGGCAGAAAAGCACCAGCGTTAAAAATCCTGATCAACGTGCAGGACAGTATGTTTTCTGTAATTTTCGGCTTCCAAGAAAATTAACCTCTTTCTCCAATGTGTTTTTGTGGCTCCCTGACAAACACTCAGTGTGTATAATAACCATGTTCCAGCCACTACAAAGAGATTATAATTAGGCGCCAGGCGTAGCTGCACAATGTATGTGTCAGGAAGCTGGAAAATGTTTCAGGTGGCTCTGGACACAAAAAGAGACTTTATGTATTAAACGCATCTATAATAACACCACAACCAAAGGACTTAAACCTAAAAAGTATTATGCAGTGGGATTTTTTATTATTATTATTATTCTGGCACAGAATAAACAGGAACAGAAAGGGCAGAAGAAAGAGCTTTAACAAACTTGCAGCATCTTAATACTTTTGTATTACCCATGGGATAGGAGTAACCTGAAGAGGTCTTTGTTAACTCGAAAGCAAAGCCAGCTGTGATATTTTAAGAAAAGGACTCATGATAAAGCCTTATTTAGAGTGGAATTGGAAAGAGCACACTGAATTTGCTTTGAACAATTTTCTCCAGCACAATTGTAAATAAGGCTGAAAGTATACCTGGGTTTTCAGTCTCCCTCATTTGTTTAGCTGGTGGCTCATCTGTATCCCAGGGAGTAGACTGATTGATGGGTGTCTGTCCCCATCTTACACTGGTTGCTAATCCTTGTGGTTGATTATCTGTCTTGGAAATGGAAAGTGTCTGCCAGAGAATGAAAGAAAACATATTAAAATTAGACATATACATACAGAATCCTTATGGATTTTTGCATGTTTTTGTATAAAGTTTTATATTGCATTTAACTAGGCCAACATTAGACAGAGCAAGCTAAATATATTTTTTATTGTTTGGAAGGTATTATGATTAATCCAACAATTGATACTTTAAAGCAGGCTGTGAAAAGAACACTTCTACTCCCAATCTAATTACTTGCCAGGACAATCAGTGTATACCACCGTAGAATTTCTGCAATGTTACTATCAATATGCAAGGTATTGGACAATTTGTGTCCAATACCATTTACTACTCATCACAGTTATCTGACTTTCCCCAAATTAAAAAAAAATAGCTATCTGGGGGGCATAATTTCATGCTGGGATCTTTTCTGCATTGTCCCTATTCCAATAATGAAAAAGCAAATGCCATTTTTGAAGAAATGGACTTTCTCCAAAACCCAACTGAGAAGTTGGAGAGCCTTATTGTATAAGAATCTTTAAAACTGAACTAATAATACATGAAGACAACATAAGTTGCACCAAGTCCGTACTGGCTATTTTTCAGGGTATTAAAAAAATGAGCAGAAAAGAGTAGGGTTCAGTAATACAAGCAAAAAGACAGCTTTATATAACTATCCAAAGGAAAATAAATGTTTAATATGATAACCAAGGTGCTTCCCAGTTTCTCCTTATGTCTCTGCTAGAGAAGGGAATTAGGCTTTCGGTATTATATGCCTCCTTGCACAAATCTAACAACAGTACAGGCCTTCTTCATCACCACATAGATACCTAGCCAGGTCCCAACAGAAAAAGAAATTGTCCAAAATATGTGTGTTCTAATTTATATTCATTTGGGGAGAAAATATCATATTGGTTAGATTAAACAGAATATCCTGTCAGTCAAAAAATGCTTTTATTCTGCCTCCCATCAAAACATGGCTCACAATTCCTGGTTCTTAATAAGTAGGTTTACCTGACAGAAGATAAGCACACTCCCAAACTAGTATTGATTCAGTCACAAAAAAGCTACAGATTTTAATTTACAGTGCCTAATAATCATGGGGTACAATGCAGGAAATGAAAAGATAGAGAAGAAATAATCCAATAAAGTTCTTGATTATTTATTAAATGTTCAATGCTAAATAATAGACTTATTTTTCTGTTAAACACATTGTTGTTTTAGAATGCTACATTTTGGTGGTCCAGAAGATATAAATTATTGTTTTGGAAATTCAGAGCCACGGTAAAAGGAACGTTTTGTCTTTGGTAGAACACAGGAACATTTATTTTAGCTTTAATTATCTGACATGTTCGTTGGCCACTGTAAAGAGATGGGCTTTCTAAAATGTTCTGTAGACATCACAGGGACTAATTGGATTATGCTGTACTTTGCTTTTTAGCTTTCATGTCACACGCTTATTTGGATTAAATAAGGAACACATGAAAGAGGTAAATTGCTTGAAACACACTTTCAGGTGTGCATTTCAAAAGGAAAGGAAAGAGAGGCCAAATGTCTACTTGCTTGAATAGACAACCTCTGAAAGGCTTTGTGGCTGTGATACTTCAAAAGCATGTACTTCAGGAAGAGACAGAAAAGAAAGGTATTAAATATCAAGATGCCCAATGGCATTATTTTGTTTATTTACTTATAAGATTGCTAAGCCTGCCTTTCAGTCAATAGATGCACACCTTTCAGGAAAAAATGTTTAACAATATACACATAGACAATTTTTTGAATCAGTCATAAAAAATAGAACAGAACTACAGAATTCTTCAGACAAAACAATAGGAAGAAGATAAAAGAAGCTGGTCTATTTCTATCTGGGAAGAGAGTTTTACCAGCTGAGGGTCATCACCAAGAAAGCCTCCAAAACTGGGACCTTGAAAAAAGGACTTATAAACTGAAATAACAAACTGGTTCACTCTTGATGGTGGAACCTAGACAATTTCCTCATGTGATGAATACAGTGGGTGCCCTGAGTTATATCCTTGTTTTTAAAATAATAGAAAGTCAGTAGATGGCCTTTGGAATAACCTGGCCCCAATCTAATTAGGGCTTGAAGGATAAGAACCAGAATCTTAATTTGAGCCCAGATGCTTATTGATGTACAATGTTAACATAATATGTATCCCAACAGTATTTTGGCTGATGTAATCTGTCAAATCTATCATTTCGAACTGCTTTCCAAAAAGAGCCACATGTAGCTCATTGTAATCACCTAGTTGAGATTATGTACAGTAGTGGTCAAAATTGTGGAAACCTTTTGGGAAAAGTGTATTTTTGAGGTTTGATGGCTAATAACACCACTTTTTTTTCAGAGTAGTACCGTAAAATTATATATCAATGGAAAGATAATTGAGTCAAGAATGTACTGCAACATAGTTTGTTCAATTATCTGTACTGTATTCTATGAAAGGTTATAGCCAAATAACTAGAAAAAGGAAGCACAACTTGCTTAGGTTGATATCAGGTAGTTTCCTTCATCTGATTGTAGCCAATGAGCATGAGTGTTTAGAGAGCCAATCAGGTGTCATATTGTTTTGGCAATGAGCCAATCAGATCACAGTAGGATTCAGTTATTGATGTCATGTATTGAAGCTGAGAGGAGGACATTTGTCAGTGTGTTAGGTGATCACTATCAAGTTGGTTGGGTTTTGTTTTCTTTTATTTAGTGAGCTTGTAAAACGTAATAAAATTAAAGTAATGGTGCAAAGAGTTGACTGGTTGCCCAGAAAGCAATGTAAAATAGTATTATTAAGTGAACAAGGCTACAGTTATAAAGAAATTAGAAGAAAAATAGGTGGAAACTTAACCAAAGGTGGCATTTCTTCTGTGCACTTTTCCCAAAAAGGTTTTCCACAATTTTGGCCACTACTATAGGTGTGATGGTCACCTATTTGTTTACAAGCTGTTTTCCTATGGTAGCCACACTCAAAGTACCTTACTAGATATCTTTTAACACACTTCCCAATAATTCATTTGAAAACCTGTAATTGTCACACACCTATCAATAAGTACAGTAATCCTCTCAATACCATGCACAAATTGGACACCAAAAACATGAGGAAACAAGCTGTGAAAAAGAGAAGGCTAAACTGCTAAGCTAAATGTTCTAAAGGTTTGTAAGTTCAAATTGTGGAAGAGAATGGATGGAGTGTAAGTAATATTCACATACAGCCAGTGAAAAACATATATAACTAAGGCTGAACTTGCCACTTTCAATAAAGGTGAAGCATCTCTACAGTTACAATTGCACACTGTATTGATAGTGAAGAAAACATTTGTCTCAATAAACTACATTCATTCCACATCAAATAGATAGGATGGAGAAGGTCTCAGCAATTAAATAAAAACGATGAGTCTCTCTTATTATAGAGGTAGTCCTCGACTTACGACCATAATTGAGCCCAAAATTTCCATTGCTAAGCAAAACAGTTGTTAAATGAGTTTTGTTGCATTTCATAGCTTTTCTTGCCGCAGTCGTTAAATCACTGCAGTTGTTAAGTTAGTAACACGGTTGTTAAGTAAATCTGGCTTCCCCATTGATTTTACTTGTCAGGAGGTCACAAAAGGTCATCACATGACCTCCAGACGCTGCAGCTGTCATATATACATGCCAGTTGCCAAGTGTCTGAATTTTGATTGTGTGACCATGGGCATGCTGCAACAGTCATGCGAAAAATGGTCATAAGCCATTTTTTTCAGTGTCATATATTTGAATGGTCATTAAACAAATGGTGGTAAAGTCGAGGACTACCAGTCCTAATAAATGGTTTCTGTTTTGCCTGCAGCAAAATAAACGGAATTCTTTTCAATGAAACGATCAGATTCTAACACTTTTTCAAACTAAAGGCATATGTACAAGTAAAAACCAAGCTCTAACACAGATGCATAAATTCAGGGAACAAAGGCTGTTAGGTTTCTTGCATTCCTCTGATGTTTTTACAGCTGTATTAAACCCATAATGCAAGAAATCTAATGAAAATGTTCTGTAACAGTAAAACAGCTGTTTCTTATGCAAAGTAAAAGTTTTACTTTACTTCAGTTTATTTTTAGATTTTTGTTTTGCCATTTTCTATCCTTGATTGCAAATAAACAATACATACTTATCTCTTAAAAGCTGTTCTATCACTCTGCACTAACCCATGGCAAAAACAAACAAACAAACAAAAAATGTAAAGGATGTGCCTTGGAAAGGCTTTAAAGGAATGTAGGGTTACAGCCTAAATTGTTACACCGTGTTAGTTGTGTGTAGACTGTAGGATGTAAATTTAAAACATCTGTTTGTATCCCTAACATTTTGATATCACAGCCTTGTGCTAAGCCAGTGGTATGATGGTTATTGTTGAAAACAATGATGAAAAATGGAGCACTAATCTCCTGGTACCTAATTTGGAGCTTATATTGTATATCCCTGAATGGTCTTACTTTTTTTCTCCCCATACAGTCCTTAATATGGGGCAAATGATCATATATAGACAACTGAGAAGTTACCATTTGAATCATCTTTCAAAGTATTTTGTGCATTAGAAACAAATGTTCTATCTCAGATGAGTGAAAGCAACAGCTTTTTGTGACTGGTGGCATGTAGCCATTATGGTTTAATGCTTTGTTCATTGTTAGACGACGGCACAACTAATGCCCATAAACACTGTTAGATGCAGGTGTTTTTCCAAATTGTGTTATAGATCTTTTAGGATAATCCTTCCTATGAAAGGTAAATCGCCAATCTTGTGTCAGCCTGAATATGGTTTGTATGTAACATCTCTTTGAAACAATCTGGTTAGCTCCTTCCTCTCATTGTCCAATATACAAATGTAATTATCTTTATACACACACTTCTTCATGTTTAATTATCAACTACACTAAAAGTTATACCATTAAATAATAGTCCCCAGAATAGAATATGTGTATTGAATAAAGAAGACACAAAATGATGATTCATATAGAGTTCTTTTTAGAAAAGTCAATATATAAATTTCACA